CTGTGTAATAAAAAAGTTTAAAAAAATCTGAATTCTCTGTCTCCCTTATCCTCTGACTATGCCATAGCTGTTCAACGAGTAACCCCAGCCTGAGGAGTCCACCCTCTGAGAGGATAAAACACATCTGGAGGGGTTATTCAGTTACAGAACATACTTCGGTAACATGAGTTGGTTTATTCATGAGTGGTAAATAGGAAATGGTTTTGTAATAATGCAGCGACCAAGTTCTTAGATGGTCCCAGGCAGAAAGAGCCAGAAGAGTGGAAGGAGAATTCTGACCTTTGGAAAAGGAGAGGTTGACTTAGTTGAGCTGTGGTATAGACAGCAAAGGCCCTTTGGGCCACATTTTAGAAATGAAGGCCTGTACCTGGTTGTACTCTCCAGAGAGATTCATCCAAACCTTAGGAGACTCTCATCCTTGGCAGGTCACTCAGGTCCCCTATACATACCTGAGTTTCATATTCTCTGACCCAGAGCTCCTGTTCCATCTGCCCTTTTCTCTGACCTTTAACAGTCACCTAGCACTTTTACTCTTGTACATTGTTAACATCCACTGTGACTGTCTCCAACTTGGCTGGGAGGTCCGTATTATCTCCCTGACACATATTTTTTTCATATTCTAGTTATAAAGTTGGTTAGAGTTTGAAAACTCAGCCCTTATCCCCTGCCCCATAAACCCTGTTAATTTTTATGTGTAGTTTTAAAGACACAGATGTTTTTAAAATATTAGGCTGTTAGAAAAGTCATGAAGTATTTTTCTATGCAAAAATTCATTATGACTTTTCCAACAGCCCAATAAAATATATGTACTGTGTTGTAGCAGAAATTCTTGTTCCTTCTGAATATTCTCCATTTTGAACCATGGATGACAAAACATATGTAAGAACCTCTTGTCGGAGAGAGGTCATAGAGGTGGATGCTTGTTAAGTGGGATGGTGGCTTGGGGCCTCCCATTCAGCTTCTTGCTTGTCCCAAGGCCTAGTGTCACTAACTTGTTTTCCTAGGAAATGTAGCTTTTCTCTCATGTCTTACTCCAGGAACTTAGTAGTAACTACCACAGAAAAAAAAATACAAAAAAAATCTTTTTAGAAATTAATAGTGAACACCTCACTCCCATAATTTTGACAGTTAAGGTTTGCTGTTTAATTTTGTATTTTTTCCAGCAGAGGACAAGCAAGCTTGATCCAAGTTGTTAATCTTTAATGTGATAATACATCTTTTTTCCTCTTCAAAGTGATCAAACCGGAAAATCAGCAGGCATAAAGAACAGAAATGCGATTCAATGAAGTAGCTGCCTTATAAGTAGTTCTTGAAAACACTTCTGTGCCTTTTTTTTTTTTAAGAGAGATTTTTGCTATAGGGTATGTGCATCCCCAGAGAGACAGAGGCAAAGAGACAGAAAGCAAGAAATCACAGGGATGAACACACTGCAATCCCTCCTACTCCAATTTTCTCTCAGTATTTTGGGCACGCATACACATGTGCCCAGTATGAATTCCAAGCCTCCAGGTCCAGGACTTAAACTGCAGTTGACTACCTGGGAGTCCAGCAATGTAACCATCATGCCATCTCTCACCTCTGTGATGTTTTTACACAAATGGATATGTTGGACCAATGAGAAGTTCTTTTCGTTTTATATGAAAGATATGAGCAAAATCTCTAGACTTCTAGGTAGTGGACATCATTTTTTCAGAAGTGTCAATGATGTACTTCATAACATTGTAACAAACTGACGTGTCTGCCATGAAGGAACATTCCCTGTTTCCCTCATGTGGGTGGGGAGAAATGAGCAAAAGGGTGCTGTTCTGTATAGTAACTATACCCTTACTACAAGGTGAATAATAAAGATGTTTCTGCCTTAACCTGTCCTGGTCAGTCTGTTTGCATTCCCACTGGGGAAACCGAGTCAAAAAATGCAGAGAATGCATTTGTCTATCTCACCTTTCCATCCACTTTTGCAGGGAGGTAGGTCCGAAAGTCATTATTTGCTTGCTTTCAGAAATTTCAGGTTTAAATAGCAGTTGTTGAAAACACTTCACGATTATGCACAGGGAGTCTATGAGAAATGCTTAGGGCCAAAACAATATGACTATTTATTTAACTTACTACAGTAAAAATAACATTTGAATGAGAGAAAACTTCAGGTGATCAAGAGAAGGATTATTTTAGTTCCTAATAATGATGTTGTAGTATTCGGTAGTTCTGTACTCCAGAGTCAAGAAAGACTCTCATTACAGGGGGATTATGAGCCTGGGAGAGCAGAGCTGCTGGGATGCCATCGAAGTACCTACATAAATCAATGGCAACTGGAGCCCTTTTCAGGGCCTAATGCAGGGCCAAGCACCCAGTTAGCACTCAATAAATATTAATTGTAAATACAACGGTGACTCTGTGGCCAGAATAATGTGGTGCCAGTTTTCTCAGGAATGAACAAATTGGCTCAAAGAACAGAGCAAGGGAGATGATTTAACCAGCTGGATTAGTGGCTAGGAAGGGGGAG